AAAGTTAATTCCCTCACTCTTTTATTCAACCAGCATTTACTAAGCAGGCATGGTACTCTGTATCTGAAAATATTTTCAGAATAGGTTTTACCCATCTCCCAGGCCCCAGAAACAAACAAATGTGTGTCAATAATGCACCCAAGAAATATCTACTTTTAAGTAGCGTAATTTTCTAGTGAAACCATCAGAGAAAATGGTTGCAAAATGTACCCCAAAGTAGCTGAAAAAGTTGGCTGGCTCTATATAATCATTAGATATAAGGCAATTAGATTGAAAATACTATCTGCCAAAAATGATGATTTGGGATTTAGGAAAGTTGAATTCGAGTCACTCTGTTTTCCATAAGATAGAGAGGTCATTTCTGGTTAGTGACAATAAAATTATACCAGAAGCATAAAGAATAGTTATTTTTATACTTTTCATAATAGGGGTACATGCAGCTAGATCATGTGCAAATTGTTTCAGATTATTAAGAAACAAATTAAAAAGAAAGGTTGGAGGAGGCAGAGCCAGAACACAGTCCTATTTTTTTTTAAGACTGAAATTATCATCTCATCTGTTAGAAGACCATTCTCATGAATGCTTGCTGTGGTCGAAAGTTCAGGTTGGACATAAACATAAGTTATCAGATCTTGCATGCCAGCTGCTTCGAGTGACTTCTGTTGGGCCTTCTCCATCCCCTCTCCACACTTCTCCCCACTGCCCTGTGCCCCTGAAAGGCTGGAATGTATGGGCTGTATCAGCAAGCTCCATTCCCCTGTCACTTCTGGAGGAGTTCAGCCAGTGGGAGGCACTAGCAGGAGATTAGAGGATGGGAAGTAGGAAGGTTAGATTATCTGTCCCCCAGTTCCCTCCCTGCCTGGCCACCATGGGTTGGCTTCATTCCCTAAGCAAAGGCTGTAGCTCATGTCCGCAGCCCTCTCTATACAGCTGCACTCTTTGAATTCCAGTAAGCCCTCACTTCCTTTGATCATTCACGCTGGTGAGTTGCAAGGTTCCCAAAGCACTAACCAACCCTTGTAGGTTTTCCTCAGTTTTGCCTTTACCTTTGTATATAGTTCCTTTCTTAACCTCTCTTCAGTTATTTAGTTTGTATAGGCTATCTGTTTCCTTACAAACCTTGACTGATACAATAGTCCATTCCTAGTTTTTCTGCACGAAGACCAAAACAAGATCAGTTACATTTAAAAGCAATCTTAAGTCTACTCTTGACAGATTATTCCAACCCCTAATAGTAAAACATAGTTAATGATGGAGTATTTTACCTACACCTAACCTGTTCCTCATAGAAAATATTAGTCGGAAAAAAATCCGACTAATTTATGAAAGACAAAACTAGCACAACATTTATATGAAAAGCCCACCAAAATAATGGCTCTATGATTTGATAGAGCAGTACTGTCCTTTTTTAAAAAGCAGGGAAAGGAAGGCTTCAACCAGATAAAATTAATGAGAGTAAACAAATTAGCTCCCAATGAGAGCAGAACTTGAGCAGTTTTGTGGTAAGAAATCTTCAGAAAGCACTTTGTAATCAACAGTACTACATGAGGAAGAAAAGCCAGAATCTAGTCGGTGAAGAGACTCATTCTTCCAAAGATGAGTGTAATTGTTCTTGAGTCAAAGGCCTTGCAGCTGCCCTCTCCGCCACCACCATGGTGCAGTGAATGAACAAAACCCTCACAGTCAGGAAGACCTGCTTTCAAATCTTTCCAGGTCGAATCGTTTATAAAGTAGGGGGAAAACAGTATCTCCAATGTAGGGTAGTTGTGAGAATTAAATAGGAAAACAGATATTAAATACCTAACACAGCATCTGATACATAGAAGTTGCTCAACAAATGGAAATTCAAAAACAAAACCAACAAAAAGAAACCAAAGACTTAGAACCCAAGACCACCCTGAAAATCAGCAAGTGGATCAGAAAGAAAAAAATGGGAAAGAATAGGTTGTTGATAAAGTATCCACCCTACCCCCAAGTCTCCCATGTGTCATGAACATTTTGAGGACCTCTGTAATGGATGCATTCCCTTCTCCAGGGGGCTGGAGGGGATAGTCACCTAAGGAATATTCTCATTCCCTGCCCCAGAAGAGCTTCTTATTTTTTTTCTTCTTCCATCATTTTATGTTTGGAGGTTAATTAACCTTTTTTACCAGTGCACCATAGTCATCCTGTCTTGCTATCACAAACTATCCTGGAGGCCAGCAGAGTTCAAATGGGTACTAAGCTGAAGTAGTCAACTCATTGGTAACTGTGGTGCCCTTCCAATTGGCCAGGATTTCCTCTGGTACCTTGTTTGGGAAATGTCCTAAATATAGTGCCCAACTGAGTCCTCTTCTTCAGTTTTTGAGGCCATATCATCTGAGTGATGAGACATTGCCTTTGCCTGGTTAACCACATCCCCGACCCAGAAGTAAGACCATCATTTTCTTGCAGAAGGGATACCGTCCTTTGTCCATCTTGGGTTATGTCAGAGACATGTCACTGACTCTACTTCTGGATGGAATTCATATTTTTAAGAGCAATTTATAATACAAGGAAGTACTTCAGCAAGACCCTAAGGAAATGGGACTAAGGAGAGATCATTTTGACAAGTGAGAGAGGGAAAGTATTCCAAAGACTGAGCCAGTGCACAGTGTGTTATGAAAATCAATGAAAGCACATATGAAAGAACTCTGAAGACAAATCAGTTCAGAAATTCTGCCCTATCCTTGGAATTGGCTTACAGATCCCTAACCCTGCAATCATGAACCCAATTTCCCCAGTTTTCCTAATCCTGGAGTTGCTGTTCCATGATCCCCACAGCCAATGTCTCTGTGGATTCCTCAATGAAATGTTGCGGGGTGAGCAGAGCAAACTCAAATAGAAAGAAAACAACATATAGTGAACACCCACCACGTGCCAGGCATTGCACTGCATATTTTGATACATATTATCTCAGTCAACCCTGATAGTAATCTCATAAAATAGACAGTGTAATCCCTATTTCACAGGTCCAGAAACAAAGACTCTGAGAAGTTAGGTAACTTGCCTTAAGTTAAGTTTTAGAACTACGATTGTACCAGGTCTCCCTGATCCATAGCCCATTCTCAGCCCGTTCTGCCACATTCGTCAAGGGCTTCATCCATTATTCAGCATCTTTACATACAGCTGTGAGACCCTGTAACACATTACCTTCACTCCATCCTCAGTTCTTCTTCTGGTACACAAAGCTGTCAAGAGAGAGCACCAGTGACTTTCAAAAATCCATATAATCCCATGTATAGCATCCTCCTTTCTACAATTGACTAGATGTAACTGGATGCTTAGTAACAGACTCCTGTATCAGTCAACTATTGCTGCATAATAAACCACCCCCAAATCTGTGGCTTAAAACAACTATTTATTTTATCTCATGATTATGTGAGTATTTGGGCCATTCTCCATTGGTCTTACCTGGGGCCACTCAGGAAGCCACATTTAGCTGATGGGTTAGCTGGGTGCAGAGTTAAACTGGGACAGTTTAAGATGACAGGGCCTCTCTCTCTATGTTGTCTTTCATTAGATGTCTTCACAGCATGGTGATCTTAGGGCAGCTTCCAAGAGGACAAGGCCCAGTGTGAAGCCTCTACTTGCATCACGTGTGCTGGTATCTCATTGACCAAAGCAAGTCTTATGGTCAAGCGTAGAGTTGTGGGAGGGGGCTACCCAGGGCACGGATACCACAAGGCATAATTTATTGAGGGTCATTACTATAACGAGGTACCACAGTCTTCCCCCGGCCCCAGTGACCCACATCCCTCTTATTTGAAAGATGCACTACCCATCTCCAAACCAACAAGAGCTCATCCAGTGATGGCATCGAACTGTAAGTCCAGAATGTCCTGATCTGCCTCAGCTCCAGATGTGGCTGAGGCTCCTCAGGTGCAGTTCCTCATGCAGCTTCTCAAGTGTGTCTTCTCATCATTCAGGGACTTCTCACCATGGACTGAAGAAACAACTTATCTGCTCCACACATACCCAGCACACAATTGTGAAGATGGAACACCCAATAGACACTCCCATTTAAAAGGAGGAGGAACAGGGGGCCACATAGAAGTCACTGGTCCATAGCAATTCTGAAACCCAGCCAGGCAAATGTGACAAAGCCTCCTATTCTGAGTACGGGAAATGGATCTTGAAAAGAGCCTGATTCTCTCCCTGGAAGTGGTTGGCTCTGCCCTCTGAGATGGTTTTCCTTTTCAATAAGAAATAACCTTTGTTTGCAGCTGAGTGATTTTTCTCAGCTTGCTTCCTGCACCATTTAGTCTAACCTGGTCCAGTTCCCTTATAAACTTTGTGAGCTTTCCACATACCAGGTTATAGTCCATCTCATTAGACAAAAGCTATAGTAACAATTATTTTTAAGACAGGCCTCTACTTTGGTCAGCATGTCAAGGTGCCAAGGGAAAATGCCCTCAAGATTCTTAGAAGACCTTTTATCTAGCTAAGAGAGTCTGGTAGACACCGTTTAAAGTCTTTCTGTGGTCTTCACAAAGTCTTATAACCTCACTCTTGATTTGATCTGCATCCTGAGGTCATTTCTTACTCTGAGGATCGTCTGCCTATTGAAGAGACGGGAAATGTGAAATGGTTTTATTTTCCAGCTCAGTGCATCCTGGACCTTCCATGTGTACTTGAAATTCTGCTGACAAATGGAGCAGTTCTTTCTTTAGTTCATCTCTCTCTTCTCATATCCTATTATATATACCTTTTAAAAAGTTAATTGATGCCCCTCATCGTTCTAAATGGAAATCTTAAGGCCAATCCACATTAAGTACACTTTCTATCTTCCAAGGTACTGGAGGTGACAGTGTTGCCAGTCGTGTCACTATTACACACTCTGGGTTGCCCTTTATCAACCTCCAGTAGTAGTTTCCACTCAGGTCTGCCAGGCTCCACCAGCACCCTGCTGGCTGTCTCCGTAGCCTCTACCAGACACTCAGTCCCAAAACCAATGCTGCCTAGTTTAGGTTTTTATTATATCAGTGTGTCACTTCTGGTTATCAATTTTTATACTAGTTTTCCATTTATGTAGCAAGATATTCCAAAACATAGTGACCTCATGATTATCATGATTCCGTAAGTTAGCTGGACCATTCTTCTGCAGGTGATGTCTTGGGTCGCTGATGCAGCTGCATTCAGCTGGGGGCATTGCCCTTGGAGACTGAACTCAACTGGCCTCTCCTACCACTCAGTATTTAATTCTGGGTTTCTTCATTGCATGGTGGTCTCAGGGTTCCAAGAGGACAAGTCTCAGTGTGCAAGTGCTTATCACACCACTGCTTCCATCACATTTACTTATGTCGCTGGGCCAAAGCAAGTCACATGGCTGAAGCAAGTGTCAATGTGATAGGCGATTATAAAAGGGTGTGGAAACTGGCAGGTGTGTTTCATTGGGGCCTTGGCTGTAACAATCCTCTACAGCACTAAAGTGTAAGTAAAATGTGCTTTTCTCTGTATCTTCATTCAAGTGTATAGCCCAATATATTTTGTTTACCTAGGCATACCTAGTATCTATTTGTTTAACTGAATTGAAGAGGCACAGAGGTTTGGAAACACCTAGATGATGACAGATAAGACTCCTATAGCCTTGGAGATCCAAAATACTATAAAACAAAGCTAAACTTTTTTTCAAAAACTTTTTCTCACTTTATTTCTACATTTGTGTAAATCAAATATATTTCTGACCAAAGATAGTCTTTAGAGTATCATGAATTTCAAAAAAAAACTCTAACTCATTAATCTTTTCTGTTATGGTCATAAGCCATCCTAGAAATAAATTCTATATGGACTTGAAAATTTTCTTATCCAAATAACTCTTTGAACATCTGAATAATCATGTAACATATATTCTTCAGTATTTGCACAAGAGAAAAGGAATTGAACAGAATTATTGGCATTTCAAACCCAGTATTTGAATTTTGCTAAGATCAGACATGAGACTTGATTTGTCTTTCTCATCTGGGGATATAGGTATATTTAGTTTTTCACTAAAATAAAGAGAATCAGGAACGTGTTTTAGTAGCCTCAAAGGTTCTCTCCTCATCAATCATTTTCTCCAAAAGAGGTTGGGGTTTTTTCGTCAATAGGAGTGGGCAATGACGAACACATTTTGAAACTTTCTCTTGATTCATGATGTCTTACCTTCAAGGATTGAGAAGCCATAAAACTCTGCTAAAAGACACATTCTTCCCCTGCTTGCTACCAATTGTGAGTCTAAGAATCCAGACACATTTGCACTGTTTTTCCCCCATGAAGCAGAATATCCCATCAAGGTGTGACAGGGGGATTCACTGAGACTTTTGTTTGCAAGTGGTGGTTTTCTGTTCTGCTTTGTTTGCTTGCTTGCTTCCTTGTTATACTATTAACCTTCTGCCTAAGTTTCCAGACTTAGTACTGCAAATGATGTTCCTACCCCAACCTAGGGGACAACTGGAGGAAGTCTTGAATGTATTCTTTGGGACCAGAGAGGGTCGCTACAGCACTCCGCTCTGAGGGCAGAGAGGAATGGATACCCCGTTACTCTCTAATTGAAACATCGACTACCAATTAGACCTGGTAGGTCCGTAGCGCCTACTGTGATGATGATGATAACAAGAGGCAGCGTTCACTGGTGCCCTTGCTCTGCTGAGCATCGTTCAGAGCACTTTACATGGGTTAACTCATTGGATCCTCACAACCCTATGAGGTTGGCATTAGCATTATCTCCACTTTACAAGAGGGGGGCACTGGGGTGTAAAGCAGTTTATTCAGGGTTATGTAGCTTTAAATGGCAGACTGAGGATTTGAAACCACCTCCACCAGCTCTGTTGCTTCAAAATACCGATCTCATGCAGAACTCAAAATTCTTTCCTGCATCTACGACCTTGGGGCTATACCTTCAGCAGCAAGTCACTGACGTTTATACACTCATGCTGTTGGCTGACATATCTAGCTTTCTGATGATTTGCACAAATTAACAGAAAGGCAGTTACAGAAGCTTCTGGCCAGTCATTTAAGGCCAGTGAATCTCGGCCTAGGTTCTTTTCTCTGTGACCGTTGGGGCATCTACATTCTCCTGGAACTTGAGTGGGGATGGTACCCAGACCACGGTCTCTGAAGCCATCTCATGGCCTCCAATCCTACAGAGCTGAAACTCGCATGTGCCGTGTGCCCTTCTCAGCCACCAGCACTACATCCTGCACCAACACACAGTCCATCAAAATGTCCTGAGACCTCCACACGCCAAGCCTCATAGGAGGCATGGAAGATAGACGTGCACACTGGAGCTTTTGGCCCCCACAGCCCCGACTTCCAATTTGAAAAACGTGATTAATTTGGGGGGAATACCAACCTAGAAGTAATTAGAGGGGATATTTTAGAAAGATTCTAAGTAAACCACCTTTCTGGTCCCTTCCAACCCCACCCCCGTCCTCTTGATTTCTCTCTAAGGCAAGCATTTATTAGTTTGATTTCAACACACACACTTGTACCTGTGATTACTATATAATGTCTGTTTACTTTTTTAAATGAAAATGAATTTAAATTAATCTTGTTTTGTGAATTTCAAGGCACCCCCTGAGATAAATGAAGACACTCCAGGGTGTCATCAAACCAATTCTGGGAATCATTGCTCTAAAAAGTAGAGAAGCAAGCTCATTAAACCTTCAAGGAGCCAGTGGGGAGAAAACATATAGATATACAGAGAGAGCGCACAGTAAAGAGAGTTTTATATGTAGATTATTCACTTACACACACGCACACACACACACACACTATACATACATAAGAAAGATGATGCACCAAAATGTGCTTATCTTTAGGAGAGTTGTCCGTTGTAAGCTTAGCATCAATGCACCTCATCGTGAAGTTCTCTGCACCACAGAGGAGATGCTGGGAGCAATATTTCCAAAAGAGAGAAGAAGCCATCCTTTTCCAGAGACAGGCAAATGCATAAGCGGATGAGCGGTTCAAAACAGTGTCCAGGTGAATCTCTTGAGACTCCCCACATTACTGCCACAGACTGAGATAACTGGTGGGAACATTCCAGAAGTTCTTGGGCTTTCTAGTGGAGTGGCTTCCAGGCAAGGTCTTGGAGAGCCTCTCACTTAGACGTCACAGGCTAAGGTCACCTGGGACCTTTGCTACTGCAGCCCATCTAACAGGTGTGTCAGCCTCTCATGTCTTGTGTCACTTTCCTTCATCCTTGGAAAACATAGAGCGTCTTCTCTTTGAACACTAACTAATATAAATAAGTAATAGGTAATCATTTTTCTTTTTGTGTATATATAAATGCTTTTATAATGAAAATACAGTATTTGTATAATAAAGCAATACTTTAAAATGTCTTAAATATATAATGTATTAAATGTTTTGATTAGAGATGCCACAGAAGTTCAGAAGAGAGATATAAAACATCAAATGTAAGGGCACAGGGAAGGCTTCCAAGAGAGAGACCAACGTGTTCCAAACTGAATCTTGAGGGAGGTGAGGAGTTGCTTCAGGGTGAAGGTAAGAACGGGACAGGTGAAGGGAACAGCATGTGCAAAGGCACGTGAGAGAGCTCTGCTTCTGAGCATCCCAACGTTGTTCAGTGTGATGGGACACATTGTGGCAAAGAATGAGGTAAGATGAGGCTGAAGAGAGAAGCAAGAGGCCTCATCCTGGAGGGCCCTTTATGCTAGTCTGTAACTGTTGGATTTTTTTTTTCCCTTGAAGGCAATAAGGAGTTACTGAAGAACTGGGAAATAAGTCGTGCTCTATGAATGTCACTGTAGCTGCACAGAGGGGACGTGTGTAGGGGCTGGAATAGTGGACGCCAGTCCAGAGAGCCAGGGAGGTGATGAGTCCTAAGGAGATTCCAGAAGGATGGGATCTGGGTGGGAAGAAGTTCTGCTGGGGGGTTGAGGGGATGTGACAGGAGGTGGTCCATGGCTTTGTCCCTCTTATCCCCAAACTGCAGGGAGGGTGGCGCACTTCAATTGAAGGATGATAAATCAGACAATTTCAGCCAAGCCTGGAACTTACTTTAAAGGTAGAGTGGAAAGTGACATTTCAAGAGTTCCTACAGAAAGGAAGTCTGGGAGCCAAGCCCTTCCTTGGAATAAAAGCAGGAAAGTCACAATGCACATCTAAGCGTAGTTTTCTTGGATATCTTCCTAACCTGTAGGTGAAGTTCCAACCAGGGACTGTTAAGTGTTCGTAATTGACCTCGGGCTTTTACTCAGGCCAGTTAGGCCTCTTTGAAGCCTCTCCTTTTACTAATTGGCTCCTCTGCCCAAGGACAGCCCTGCTCAGCCAAAGCATCTCAGCTCGAGAGGAGACACCGGGAGATGTCAGGCACCACCGCTTGTGACCAGGCTGTGTTGGAGGTGCTCCCGATGACTGTCAGGAAGAAGGGAAAACACAGCTGCAGGACAAACCGGGCTTACAGCAGGGCTTCTCAGGCACAGGTGTGCGTGTGAACTACCTGGGATCTCACAGGTCCGGGGCGGGGCCCGAGAGTCTGCATTTCTCACAAGCTCCCAGGTGGTGCTGAAGCTGCTCAGTTGTGGCTCACACTTTGGGAAGCACTGGTCTATAGGCAGTTGGAGGATGAGCCAGGAGGTTGGGGAGATGCCGAGAGGTACAGAAATTCACAATTGCTGTGCTCCATAGATTCACTGTATTTGTTCCATCTGCCCTGGAAAATGGACCTATGTGGTCTAGTTTGGAAGACTGGAAGACATAAAGGGGAAAGAGATAAGAAATAAGGCTGCACTTTAGATACCTCAAAGGTCTGGTATTGTAATAGTAAGAAGACCATATAAGAAAATTAAGTAAGTAAATAAGGCATCTCTATTAGTTTTCTATTGCTACGTAACCAATTGCTGCAAACTTAGTGGCTAAAAAAGATGCCCATTTAGTATCTGTAGGTCAGAAGTCCAATTACGGGTGAGCTGGATCCTCTGCTCAGGGTCTCATCAGGCTGAAATTGAGATGCCAGCCAAGCTCCAACTCTCATCTGAGGCTCGGGGTCCTCCTCCAAGCACATTCATTTGGTAGAAGTCACTTCCTTGCAGTTGTAGGACGAAGTCCCTGCTTTCTTATAGCTGTCAGCTGGGAATCACTCTCAGCTCCCAGGGGCCACCTTGCCAAGTGGCCCCCTTTTGCTGTGTCATAGCATAATCATGGGAGTGATACCCATTGTGGAAGGGAATGGGTCATTTGGGGCCATCTTGGAATTCTGCCAACCACAGCTTCCTATGACTAAAAACTTCACCTTAGAGATACTTCAGCATACGTGTAATTTCTTCATTTACTCCCGTCAGGCTCTAAATCATCCTGTGATGATGGTCGTAGCAGCAGTAGCTTCCATTTGTGAGCACCGCTTATGTGCTGGGTACTTGACATATTCTTGGCTTATTTAATCCTATCAGTAATCCTTAATAGTCTGTATCATTATAGATATCTGTATTTGGTCCATGAGGAAAGGGAGACTTGGAAATTTTCAGTAATTTGGTTGGGGTCACAGTTTAGTGACCCAGTAACATTTGATAGTGTGGACTGAGTCCTAGTCTAGACCAACTGAGTGACTCAACTAAGTGAGTTTCCTCCACTAGAGATGGGGAGATCTCTAAAGTTCCTTCCAAATTTTACACTTCAACTGTGAAAACTGCAACGTAAAGATTTTCAGTAATTTCTTCCTTTCGAGTCCAAGACAAAGCAAAGTTTGTAGCATCATGAATGGTAGAAGTGAGAGAGTTCACCAAAACTATTTTCATTGCAAAGGTGTCTCTTACCTGAGTGCTCCCTCTTCTCTGGTTTTGCTCCCACCTGCCTTTGCTGAACAGCTTTGCCAAAACCAAAGCCTGGCCCCAACTCCGTCTCCATCTCCAACTCCCCTGGTCATAGCTTCCAAGGCACCACCACCCCCCACCTGCCAACATGAAGTCTCGATGTGCTCCTGGAATGGTCTAAAGGAAAAACATAATGTAAGTGCCATGAAGACGACAGAATTGTCAGAGTACAAGAAATCAACTGGTAAATTTTAAGATATCAGTCATGGCATGTTCTGTAACAGTATACAAATCACAAATACAAAAAAGAAAAAAAAGAAGAGAGAGAGAGAAACAAGGAAAAGCTATCAGTGCCATCTTGTGGAAAGACCTATATTAAGATGTCCAAGGTAATCTGGCCACACCCCAGCTCATAGCAACGCCTCTACACTCAACACTGACGTGCACCCAATAGACAGCAGGATAGCTGCAGTATTTGTTTGTAGGCAATGGTGCTGATCGGTAGGGGGTCCATTCTGATTGCTTGCTTCCTGTGTCGTAGCCAGTTATTATATAATTTATGTATTACCCCTAACTATACAAATAGCACATAAAACCCTCATATCTCCGATACCATATACACACAAAACCCACACCCACACCATTCTGCTTGGTTCCTCTAAACAGCATGGTTCTCCAAATGTGGAAAATTTGCATTGACTATCACAACACCCCATCCCCAACCAACACACACACAATAGACCACAGTTGCTTATAGTGTAACCCTTCCTTTGGAAAAAAAAAAACTTAATTTTATTTCACTTCTTGAGTTAATTAGAAATTATTTCTCTTCTTTCCCTCTATCTAAATGGTCCCATCTGTATTGGTTTCCTATTGCTACATAAGAAATTATCCCAAAATGTAATGGCTTAAAATAATAAATATTTATTATCTCATAGTTTCTGTGGGTAAGAAATTCAAGAGCGGCTTAACGGGGTGATTCTGGCTCAGGGAATCAGGTGATTCTGGCTCTAATAATGAGGTTATTGTCAAGATGTTGGGCAGGTCATCTAAGGTCTTACTGGGGCCAGAGGATCGACTTCCAAAATAGCCAGTTCCCCTCTGTGATGTTGGTAGGAAGCCTCAGTTCCTCACCACATGGATCCCTCATAAGATTCCTTGAGTGTCCTCACAACATGGCAGTTGGCTTCTCCCACAGAAAAGCAAGGCACAAACCATAATATCTTTTATGACTGAACCAAAGAAGTCACATCATCATTTCCACTATATCCTACTGGATACAAAAACCGACCCTATCAATGAGCAAGAGTATTACACAAGACATGAGATGGTTCACTGGGGGGACATCTCTGAGGCTGGCTACTACAGTATCCCTTTGTAAACCCAATTTCCAGATCATCGAGTCCCAGGTGTGAAATGTGTTTAGACAAAGGAAGATCACAACATTAAAGATACTGAGAATTCTGCCTGCGGTCCACGGGCCACCTAAACCCAAGCAATCCTTTGCCTTGGTGGGACACTGACCTACTTGGAGGAAGGAATTCTCTGACTCAGGCTTCCGCTCTAACTACCACTGTCGTCAAGCCCTCAGAGAACTTAACGTGAAAGACAGCTGGGTCAAAACGTTCTTATCAGCTGGGGGCAGGGAGAGCTAGGATGCCCTAAAACTGTTCTGTGGAGCTCCCAAAGACACTTACTTCCAGTATTTCACAACAGACAGAGAACAAAATGGAAGAAGACCTTGTCTTCATAAGACTGTTCTGGTAGTTCCCGACTGAAGCTTATCTTTGCCCCCATTGACTTCTTTTGTGCTTATTGTCATTTAACTTTTCCATATAGATTATCTGATTGTCTTTGATGAATAATTTAGCACTTCATATATGCTATGAGAACAATTACTTTTGAGTCTAAATCCCCCCAAGTATGTTGTAAATTCTCTGAAGTCAAGGAAATTAAGCTTATTACTCAGCCAACCGTCATTGTCAACAGATTGTTCTCCAGGAATATGTCCCCCTCAACACAGTCACATACACATGTGATCAAATACATGCACATGATAGGAGCAGAACTCTACAAAAAACAAGGCTTATTTATTCCTTTTTACAATTAGACTTAGCCAGGATCATGCTGACATAGTCTTTGTCTCCATAAAAGCACAGACTATGAAACGTACACCTCAAGAAGGTACTACACAGCACTCAATTAGTCCTCAAACTCATGCAATTAAAAAGACACACACACACACACCACCCCCCATCCCCACAGGAAGAAAGATTTCCATCTGACCAGTCAAGAAGCTGCCCACTGCCTGCAGCCAATGAAGAGCCATCAGAGCCCTCAAGTTCCTCCTTTCCTCTATAAAAGCAAGTCTCTCTCCTCTGTTCTCCAGGCTTGCCTATGATTTGCCACAATTTGCTTGTCTGAAATTGCAGTTCTCTACTATTCTTTAATAAACTCATTTTGCTGGTTTAAGGGGGAAAAAAAAAGACACACAAACACACATTGTTTACATAGTCCTGGAGACTCGCCTACACTCCCAGAAATGTACCTTCACAGTCCTGCCTATGCATTCTACTCACTGATTTTTTTTTCATCCATTTAAGCATTTTTGAGCACTGTGTGTCAGGCTCCACGCTACATGTGCGAAATGCAAAGATGGGATGATGCCGTTTCAGCTCTGACACAAACAGGTAACCCCAATCCAATAAAGTAACTGCTATACTGGGAGCACGTATTTATACAAGGTGAGATGGGAGTACAGAAAGAGCCTACATCTCCCTGAAGATGGGGTAACATTTTACAGAAGAGAAAGGAAAAGCAGCTCAGTGTACCCGGGGGCTGGGGGCCGGGGGCCCCATGCAGGGGGCTGACATTGTTAAGTTGCAGGGATCCTGGTGAAGAAACCAGCTGAAAAGATTTTTCCTTTCAGGTTGAGGCTCCCTGGGCCCAAAACAGAAAATTAAATAGTACCCTTGACAACAGAACACAGCCCAAGGCAGGGACCCTGGGCCCTCCCCACTCAGGGTCTGTTGGAAGCCAGGGGCAGAGCATTGGAGGGGGAGGAATTCCTACAAAGGTGGATTGATGGATGCATTTCTGCCCCTGTAGAGACCCACACCAGGGGCAGAATCACTCACTGTTGGGGGGTTCAGGAGAGAAAAGAATCTCTGTCTCCCCCAGAAATGTCTTCCCTCTGGAGAAGGTGGGTTTTGAGCTGAATCTCAGGGAGGCAAGGAAGGGGCCTTAGGGTGGTGGGTAGAGATGTGGGAAGTTCTTCCCTGACAAGTGGAGGGAGCAAAGAAAGACGAGCAAGGAGAAGGGACTGAGAAAAGTTCAACCTGAAAGGAGCAAATGCTGGAGCCTTGTCTCCAGGGGCCAGGCCACCAGAAACACTGGAGAGCAATGGATTGAGAGAAGTTGCTGGGAGGGAGAAGCAGGTGACTGATGGCTGAGAGGCACAGCAGGGAAGCAAGGAAAGGAATCAACTGGGATGAGCTAGATAGACTGACAGGGAGTGGTGTGGGAAATGGGAGTGCAAACAGGAAGGGTTTAATCAGGGCTGTGATTGTAGGAAAGGGTAGATTTGGCAGCTCCCAGAAGCTGGGGAGAGGAGGCGGAGGCACTGCTTCAGAGCTGTCTGGGTAAATTGTCAGTGCATTTATTCCTTTTTATTTGCTGGAACCAAATGTGTGTGTCAGGGGTAGGTGGGGACAGAGGGAGGGAAATAACATCTTCATGGCTAAGTACCCTAGGCTTGGAATGAGCGAGACCTTGGCTCACAGCCCAGCTACTTACTAGCTGTGCGCGCTTGGCCAAGTTAACCAACATCTCTAAGCCTCAGATTACTCATGTGCAAAAGGGTTACAGAAATACCTTCCACATGTGGCTCTTCCAGAAAGCACCTGGCACAGGGCCTGGTACGTAAGCAAATTCAACAAGGGTTAACAATTTTCATAATTATAATTAGTCTGCATCACTAGAAGCACATTGTTCAAATGAGGATATGAACCAGTCACATCACAGCTAAGACACTGTGTTCAGATGTAGTTCCCCACCTTCCCCACCTTCTATGAAGGACACAGATAAGCACTTGCCTCCCCAGGGGTGGGTGACTCATAGAACCTGGAAATCAGGAACTATGATGAGAAATTAAGAAACTCTGCAACTGTGTAACCCAGCTGAGGGGCTTGAGGATGGTTATGTAAAGAGGCGGTAACCTTCCGTGTAACTTAGAATACAATACTGTTTTGTTAAACACTCTGGAGTCAGGCTGCTTGGTTTCAAATGACCGGCCATCAGTCAACTCATGGTCAAATTCCTGAAACTCTCTGGGGCTTCAGTTTTCTCATCTGTAAAACAGAGTTAATTAGATTACCTACCTCATAAGATTATGATGGTAATTATGTAAGTTAATACATGTACTTAGAATAATACCTGGCACATAGTAAATGCTCAATTTGTTAGTTCTGTTGTTATTGTTATTATTATTATTATATAATTACTATCCTGGGTAAAATTTCAGGGCCCCAGATGGCAGCAACATTTTTTTTTGTTTTTTTAAAAATAATTCCAGCAGTGGAAAAATGAGAATAGTCCCCTGTAGAGTAGTGATTCCCGCTAACTGGACGAGTTCAAAAAGTCGCTTGTCAGAGTCATTGTAGAGGAGATTCCTCCTCCAAGGCGGATGGAGATTTGCCATCTCCTGGGCATCCATTGTGAAGAAAGACAAGGCCAGGCTCTCGGGGCAGCAGGGGCAGTTGGCCAGTGATGCAATAACTCCCACCTACCGCCAGGGAGCAGCAGAGTCCGACCCCGGGTTGCTTCATCCACAGAAAACCTGAATTTCTTCTAGGTTTTCCTCCTTTGCTGTTTGCGTGGCCCACCAATCTCCGTGCGCACCGCTGCAGTAATCCCGCCCATTATTGGCTATCCAACCAATCAACAAGTGTCCTGCTTGGGGCCGAGCCGGACGGCTCCTCTCAGTCATTCAGAGCCCGGAGTTCGGTGTTCCAGCCCCGCCCCTAGGCGGGTCGGCCAATCCCCTGCGGCGGAGCAGGACGTCACCGGGCTGTGTCCCCGAGACCACGTGGTTCCAGGAGGCCCCAGTGCTAGTGCTAGGTGGGTGGAGAGTTACCCGGCCCCGGAAGCGGTGGGCGAAGCGGGAGGGGCCGGCCTCGCCGCCGGTACCCGCTGTCCTGTGCCCTTCCCCAGTCATGGGCGTGCAGCCCCCCAACTTCTCGTGGGTGCTCCCCGGCCGGCTCGCGGGGCTGGCGCTGCCCCGGCTCCCCGCCCACTACCAGTTCCTGCTGGACCAGGGTGTCCGGCACCTGGTGTCACTGACGGAGCGGGGGCCC